GACTGGAAATGTGAAGCAGGCTCATTTGATTGGTGCGGTCGGAGCCGCCCATAGGCTTGCCGCCACGCCCAGCTCAGATCTCACGGAGCGGGAGTGCTACAGAGGCCACATGAAGGAGGAGCCATTGCAGCCTGACTCTCAATCCGCCAGTTAGCTACTCTGCATAAACATACACTGGGCTGACTGTGTGGTCCGAATTATCCTGTTAGTTGGCAATCTTCCGAGCCACGGCTTTTAGGACACCGTGATAGTTTCAATGGCATCAAATTACCTATAGTACGGCAAATGCGCTGAGCCATCGACCTCACTCTCCATCATAATTCCCAGGCGCCGGCCACTGTCCGAGCCGATCAGTTGACTGATGTGAGGAATGGACCCAGTGGCTGACATACTTAATGACGCCTGCCTGCGCGTGCCGCATATAGGACCTGCCCTCTCGCCAAATGTGAGCACCAGTGTGGTATGGTATGCTAAGCTAAGCTAAGGCACGATAAAGAAAGGATCACGAGCCGAGGCAGGCGGGTAGGTTTGGTGATGAGTTGGCTTTGGGTTGTCAGGGGTGGGAGAGTGTCAAGTAGGAGGCAGGTTGCAGGCAGGAGTTTGACTATACACAGACGACAGCGCAAGTAGGAAGTTTTGTAACCACCGCTGGGTACGTGGCATTTAAGAAATCCTAAGTTGGCGTTCCATGGCTTTTTCACGTTTTGAGCTTCAGACAATTTTACCAGCTACCATTGATGTAGTCCAAGTTTTTGCAGACGCTCCTTATTCTCACTACTCGTTTCTGCATAATTTCAGTCATACTTAACGGCGCTGGATAGCCACTGGGCTTGGCTTCTTCAACTAACTCACTGCCTTGAAACCCGACTTGATCGAAGTGTGCGTTTTCAACAGTTCTTTGCCGAATCTAATGAGGCTGAAATCTTCTTGCAAAGTCAGCTGAAGCAACTTGAAGCCATTCGGAATTCCACCTCCGAATTCAGTTCAGTTGAACAAATACAGAAGCTGATGGATGGAATTGCCGTTAGTTCTTTTTTTACATATACTGCGAACCTGAAAATATATGCGCGTGATTGAGTAGTAGATAAGCAAGTTATATGTTTACTTTCTTTGTAGGAGATGGGGGAATCCATACGGGAACACGGCTACCTCGTTGATAAGCTTGTTGGCCTGAGCGAGGAAGTTGTCAACTTGACGCCTGGCTCGCGTCCACAGTCAGGGCCTGAGCAAGTGGTCGCTTTGTGCTCATTTGGAAACCCCGATGACAACGTGCCCTGCGACGCGGACATGGACCCTGCCCAGGCGCCCCATTTAAACGACAGCCCATTGCCCTCATCGGCCGCTTGGCCAGTAGGCATAAAATTCTTCGAAAAGGAAGACAAAATGACAATGACTGGCTTCAAGAGCAAGACCATCATCGGGGTATGTGCGCAGGGAACTTTTGTTCGTTGAATTTGCGAGGAAAACCCCTTTCCTCACTTCTCACACAGGCGTGGTATTCTGATTGAACTAAAGACTGCCATTGATAGGACCGCGGTGCCTTAATAGGTGATTTAGATACGTATTCATACACCGAGAAGAAAGTTCTGACCGCATGTAGGCATCAATATTTTTGATCACTAGTTGAAATTCGCACAATTTTGTGTACTGAAGACAGTCAAACTTAAACATGGATAGTTCAGGCATGTTATCCATTTAAATTCCTGGATACTTATGCATAAGAACAGAAAACACTTATTGGAAAGATACGGAAATAGGAAATCCCCATAATATGGGCGATCGTGCATTCAATTCCAGGCAGATTATGGTCAATGTTAAGGCTGAAGTTAAGGCTAGGGCTGAGGTTGGGATCGAGAGCAGTTTAGGGTTGGGTTTAATGTTGGGGTTTCAAGGTCCAACAGGCATATTGTAAAACTATAAACTATCTAAAATATTGTAATGCTGATCATCCGCTCATCGGCTGCTAGTTGATGATAGGCTCTGACACAGTCAGAAAAATTATCCCTTCTTGGGGGCGCTGTGAGTTCATAAGTTTATTGACAAAAGTACTGGCTTTGGCTTGGGCTATTGTTATAAGAAAATTATTAACCAACGGCCTGGTTGGTGACATTTGATGACGGACACAACCAGCCGATGCTTCAGATTCAAGCATCCGTTCGAACTTCGTTCTAGCAATGTGCACTAGCCATGTTTCATTGACCGTACTGAGGCTTAGTTAACTCGGAGGCCATCTCAATAGGAGTTGACTTAAGGCCACGTTAAGAAAGACTCACTATAGCCTGACTCCTGGTCCCCAATACCGAGTTAATAAGCCTCCACTTGGCAACGTCTCAAACGTCGTTTGAATTATAGTGAGGAGGCGTTCTTCTTTTGTCGTCTTCCATGCAATACTGAGTTGCGTTAACTGAACATGCCAGAATCTACCAGGGCCTTTGTCTAACATCAGAATGCTTACCTCCCCATTTTTGGCGTCACACAACAGAGTCGGCTACTATAGGGTCCATGTAGTTCTACAGGCGAAGTCGACCAGAATCAGCTCCAGCGGCAAGGTGGTCCGGAGTGAATAGTTTGCGCATGTGTCTATATTGAGGATAACTTGCGTAGCACTCTCCTCGCTGTCTCTTCCCTCTTGATGGCGTTCCGGTAGCAAAATTTGGTTAAAGATAACGGAAGATGCGTGTAGGCATAGTTGTCGATCAGACGTTCCTTAACCAGGCATTCCTATCACTCAGTCTGCAGGCACCGCACC